TTTTGCCAAAAATTGTATTAAGTCAGAGCCCGGGCACAAAGCATCCTGTGGAATGTCACTGCCACGCCAGTCAGCGGCCAGCGCTGTCACGCCGCTCACCGGGAGTGGCTCGGCGCCGCTCTCGACCCACATCTTGGATTGCTTCAAGCGATCCACGCACTGCCGCAACTCCCGCCAAGCATCAGGCTCAGCAGGAGCCGGCATGGCCCCCGCCGCGTCGGCCTCGGGCTTCTTGGCGCCGGACCTGCGCCTTGACATCGCCAGGACCCAAACCTCTAGGAGCAAACCAACAGTGAACCTGAGAATGCATCGGAGAAAATGCAAAGCACAGAGTGGTTGCAACAGCACATGCACTATAGAGCTTGCTAGAGCAGAGGATGTCATAAGTTGCGCTTCTCCTTTGTTTCCTTCCTGAGCGCCAGGTCGATTCCCCACGACTAGTGCGCGCACACATCGAAGTGGGTCAAAGCCACCTGTCTAGGGTTTAGGGTTTCGGGTTTCGGGTTTAGGGTTTAGGGTTTAATCCCTCCGAAGCAAAACAAATCAAAATCTGATCCGAAACATGACAAAACCATCAACGATCAGCGACAATCTTCCACATGGTGAGGGTTTAGGGTTTAGGGTTTAGGGTTTAGGGTTTAGGGTTTAGGGTTTAGGGTTTAGGGTTTAGGGTTTAGGGTTTAGGGTTTAGGGTTTAGGGTTTAGGGTTTAGGTTTTAGGTTTTAGGGGTGGGAGCCCAGTGCTGCCAAATGGCTTCGTGAGACAACTCAGGAAGTCCCACCAGGAAACCACCCTGCCCCGCACCTTCTTAAGCCTCTTCTGCTTCGATGCCGCATCCTTCCAAACCGGAATGAGGGCTGTTTTGCGCGGCCTTGGCTGCATTCAAGGGGGACGCTATTATGAAAAGTTTTCCGGCTATTCGGCATCCTATGTTTTGAGGTTCGCTATAATGAAAAGTTTTCGGGGCGGGACTGTTTTTTTTTAATGGTTTTGAGGTCCCAAAATATCTCAAAAGCTGCTGAGAGGTGCACAACTCAATAAACTTCCTGACCCCTTCCCTGCCTGACTGTTTGGGGGCTCGTTTCATTCAGGCTCCTTGTCTGTTGCGGGGCGGCGGGGTTACATTCTTCAAGCAGGTCCAACATTAGGATACAAAACCAAACCAAAAAAAAAGTCGCCCGAGAGCTGCGAATGTAGATTTGGCGGGGGGGGGGGGGGGGCCCCGCGATGCGACGGGCGTGCCGGTCACCGCTGTAGCAGTGGGGGGGGGTTCCCCCCCCCCGCACTGCTACGTCCCATTTGACCATGTTGGCAAGGCTCAAAAAGCCAAAGCCCAACAAAATATGCTAACATAAGACCACGGCCCATAAAAAACCACCCAAAATCAGGTGTAGCTGTGGGGGGGGGGGGTCCCCCCCCCCGCAATGCGACGGGCGTGCCGGTCACCGCTGTAGCAGTGGAGGGGGGGGGGGAGGGACCCCGCACATCTACAATGAGCAAGAACAAACCCTGGCCGAACCAAACTGCAGCCAAGTGGCAGATACTCTTTCTTGCTGCCTCGCAGAACCCAGCGCACATGCCCTTGTTCGGGGCCACCTCGCAGGATGGCATCGAGGTGGTTCAGACATCCTTTCAGCTTTTCCGGCAGCTTGGACATGTAAATGTTGTGCGGCTGGGCGTATGCTGCCCCAAGCCTGATGATCGGGGAGGGGACAGAGGCGTCCTGTCGGTTGGCAAGTAGACTCGGCCATTGCCCACTGGCGACATACCCGCCAAGCACGCGAGTCGCCAGGATGATTGAAACCTCCTTCCAACACTCTCCCTGGGCGTCGGCCGCAGGAATCTCGACGCCATTCTGGGGCCCCAAAACCTTTTGGAAGGTTTCCGGCTCCACGCACACCCACACGAGCCGCTTGCAGTCCATGGCAACCTCCTGGCTTACGCCATTCAAGAACTCCGAGGCACTGTAGAACACAGAACCTGCAAACGAAGATACCCGGGCCAGCTGCTTCTTCGCACGCGTCTTCAAATGGACACAGGAACCGAGGATGACGAATGTGCAGGGTCCCGGGGCTAGTTCTTCCAACTGCTCGTGCAATTGTCTCATCTCTATCCTCTGGAGCTTCTCTTTGTCCTTTAGCACGTTCCTTTCATGCTCTGACAACTTGGCGGCAATGCCATGACCGGGACCATGAACGAAGTCCTGTTTGAGCTCCGCAGCTTTTGCCTGAAGTATTGCCCGCAGCTTCTCTTGCTTAGGAGAGGCACGCCGTCTTGCTGCGGAGTCAACGACTTGCTGAAGGTCTTCCAGACCTTCCTCGGCATCTGGCTGCTGCAGCGAACGCCGCTGTGCGTCCCGCTGTCTCTGGAAAGACGCCAAGCCCTTGGATTTCAGCCTCGAGCAGAAGGACTTTCGTGGAAGTCGGTCCCGTCTCGTGTTCCGACCTTGCCCACCATAAAGCTTCCGGTACTTGTCCAGGATTTTGAAACCAAGACTGGATGGCTGGTAATTGCCCTTTGAGAAAAAAACCACCTTGTCCAGGTCCGGGCAGTCGCAGAAGACTTTCAGATAGCAATTCCTGTTTTCCTCTGACATACTGGCCTTGATGGAGCCTGCAAGACGGAGAACCGCCACAATCGCTTGCGCACAACTCAACGAGCATCGAACATGAACATGCGCCTGAAAACAGCCGCAGTGTGCTAAAGCTGGTCTCGATCTCCGAAGTGGCATCGAAGATTGCTAGCATGAAGCGAACCTGAGAACTCTGAAAATACCACGCGCACACACGCACAAACACACGCCCGTGCTCCAAGGAAATGCCATGTCACAGACTGTGGTCTCAGTGAAGGACGGCAGCTTTCAGTGATTTCAACCGATCAAAGCGCTGCATAGTCGTGGGCCAGTAGGCTCTCTCAGACCTGCGCACCACCCAACCCGCCTGCTCCACCTCACGCGCTAAACCTCTACTACCATATCTCGGCCAGCGCCTGGCAAGAAAGACCGCCGTGGGTCGTGCGACGAGGTACTCTTCGCGCAGCACGTGTGTGTCCAGCTGCAGCAGCTTGGCCAAAGGATCCAACACCTCGGGCCTTAGTGCGTGCAGGCTCGCGCAAGGCGCCACCGGCCAGGGAATGAGAGCAAGTTTGCCATTGCCGACTGACGAGGAACAGGGTGGAGTCTGATCTGTTGGCCGTCCACCAGACCACGTCGAAGGGGCTCAGAGCAGACCCAACACCAGCTTGATGCCAAGTCTCCACGGACTCGAGAAACAAGTCCGACACGTTCTTGATGGACCCCAATTCGGGCGCCAGCAGAGCAGCATACTCTTCGTCGGGCACGCCTGCGGTTTAGTTGAGGGTTTGGGGTTTAGGGTTTAAGAGTTTAGGGTTTAGGGTCTAGGGTCTAGGGTTTAGGGTTCGCGAGCCTTCGTAGTGAAACAATAGGCGACCATCCTGGTACACGGCAATGTCCGAGCTGCTGCCTTGGGCAGCTTATTATCATGCGAATTGCAGACGCCCAAGCGTTCTCACAGCAAGAAGTTTTCTTATCATTGTAGGCTAAGATGCTCAAAGCTTTCATCTGCTGCTCGGCTATCTGAAGGTACCCGGACGTGTAATTGCTATTGAGAACCAGAGGCCGTTGGGCGGTGGAGCCGTCCAAGGACTTGAAGGCAAAGGTGCGATTGAGATCCTGTGTGAACCCAAGCAGTAATTCATTGGAACGCAGCATCCGCACAAGTGAGTCTACAGCGTCCTGCTTCAGATTCTCGCACAACCTGGAGCAGTTGGATATGCGAGCTGTGGAAGAGGTCGGCGCGGACTCTGACTTTGCGGCGCCCCTGTCGTACTCATGAACGAATGGAGACACCAAGCTGAGCCACTCCGTCGTCAGTGCAAGCAGCCGAATGTTGCTGGGCGTCAGTACCTCGCCGTCAGAGTCATGTTCCCGGACAGAGCCCTAGTACTACGGACAAACAAGAGCCAACCGGCATACATCATACGCTGTCAGGTTGCAGCTAGAAGTTTCACAGCCCACGCTGATTTATCGTTCTTCAATGCTGCCAGGTCCAAGAGAAATCGAACAACCGAAGAGATGCACAATATCAATTTCTGCAGACAGTTCGTGCAACTGTCAAACCTTTGAGCCGCGTAATGAGCGCTCATCTGCGGACCCAGAACACAATCAAGCTGGGATTGCACCTTCTCGCTGAACTGTGCTAACAACTTGTGAGAGTTGCCAATGGCCCTGCAGAAACCGCCCGGGTCCTTGCTGTTTTGTGACGACAAACGCATAACGAACTCATCTAGCAGGGTTTTGATGTTCCCGTCGCTCTTCAGGGAGTTTTCCAAGCTTCGCTGCGCCGAGTGCAGCCGGCATCTTGTGGACAGCTTCAAGGAAGGCAACACACCCTTGGCCTTGGCTGCGAGGCTGGTACACGCTGCTGGCGGTGAACCGCTTCCATCTGAGCCTGTGGCGGCAGCAAAGCGCCCAGCCAGTCCCTCAGCTTTTTCGCCATCCACAGTGTACACCTGCAAAGGTGCGCGCATGGCCCACAGAACTGCAGGAGACCCTGGACTTCGGTCCTGGAAGAGCTTTGCGAAGGACTCATGGTTGTCCGGGCTGAACTTCTGCAAAACTCTCCCCATGTGCTCCACTTTTCCGAGCGAAGTCTGTCGCAGGGCACGGTATTGCACGTGTTCTGCGCAAGCAACATTACTATTGACATGCCTGCCTTGACGCCGTGGCACTTTGAGAGCTCCAACATGCGGTGATGAACCTGGCTTCGACGCCTACCAATTATTCACATACAACTGCAACAAGTATGCCACTGAACAGCGGCGCCTGGTACTTGTGGTCCACAAGTCTCATCTTCACACACAAGGAATCTTTGCTGACGTCCTGACCCACAGGACGTCAGCCTGTGACCAGCCTCTGACTGTTTCTCAGCACAGCGTTCAGACTCAACCGCCTCGGCCCAGCCAGCGGACTTGCACTTCGCGGCCAGCCTGCGGTCCTGAATCAGCACGCAAGCCCAAATGAGACACACACACACACAGAGACACACACACACACACAGAGACACACACACACACACACACACCCACCCACCCACCCACCCACCCACCCACGCACGCACGCACGCACGCACGCACGCAAGCACGCCCGCCCGCCCGCCCGCCCGCCCACCCACCCACACACACACACACACGTCTACGCAACGGGCCACTGCCGGGCCTCGTCCCACAGCACCTCTGCAACTGTCCTGATGATTCGCGCGTGCTCGGTCGCGCAGGAGCGACCCGCAGGAAAGTTCCTGCAATCGGCTCGCCCCGCCAGTTCGCACCGAGCTTCGTAGGACCTACCCTGCGCGCTGCTAGGCATCCGCAGGACTTCAAGCGCCAGGCGCACTTGCGCTGGTGTCGGCACTGCCTTGTCCTCCTCGCTCCCCCCGGGCGATGCAGCTGGCTGTCCCAGCTTCTCCAAGCTCCGAATGTGCCCATCCGACTCTCCGTGACGCCGAAGATCCTCCAGCTGCAGCATACCCCCGAACCGGGTCATAGGCACCTCGCACAGAGATATAAAGCAAGGAGGAGCGAGTCCAAAGCCGTGCGACACATTTCCTAAAGTAGTGCATGTCGTTTTAGTGACCAAAACCGCGCGACACATTTCCTAAAGTAGTTAGTGTCGTTTTGAGTGACCAAAACCGGGCGACACATTTCCTAAAGTAGTTAGTGTCGTTTGAGTGACCAAAACCGGGCGCCACTTTTCCTAAAGTAGTTTGTGTCGTTTTAGTGAGCAAAGCCGGGCGACACATTTCCTAAAGTTGTTTGTGTCGTTTTGGTGACCAAAGCCGGGCGACACATTTCCTAAAGTAGTTTGTGTCGTTTGAGTGATCCAAGCCGGGCGACACATTTCCTAAAGTAGTTCGTGTCGTTTTAGTGACCAAAGCCGGGCGACACATTTCCTGAAGTAGTTTCTGTCGTTTTAGTGACCAAAGCCGGGCGACACATTTCCTAAAGCTGTTTCTGTCGTTTTAGTGACCAAAGCCGGGCGACACATTTCCTAAAGTTGTTAGTAGTCGTGTTGTATTACAATTTACCTTTGTTTAATCTCTCTCTCTGTCTGTCTGTCTCCCTTGCTATGCTTTTGTGGAAAGAACAAAAAGATGCAGAAACACCCTTCCGAAAGACAGCACACACCTCGTATTGGGCTGCACCCTTCTTCATTTGGACAAAGGCCGATCCAGATGCAGCCGGGTTGTCACAAGCATCTCTGCAAACTGCGCACCCCAATCCCCATGGCTTGTTGCTGTCGCTCTCCACCAGCCACGTGGCGGTGCCCCCGGAGCTGGTAGAATAAACAAGTTTCTTTTGCCAGGAAGCAGCATGCTTGATGTACTTGCAGCGGTTGCACCGCTTGATGCACAGCTTTGCCTCAGGTTTCGTAGCGTTACAACTGAAAATGCCACATTAACTTAGAACCCGAGACCAGTACACTCCCGTGCTTCTCCAGACATCTCTTCGCATGTGCACCTGCAGGTGCACCGGACGTGCAAACAAGTATCAATAAAAGCAAGGCTTCAACTCGAGCTTTACTGACCTTACCCGCGCCTTCTGGACTGTGACCCCGCACAGATGCCATCTCGCTGAGGTCACGGAATCAGGTGTCTCAACGTATGAAAGGTCCAATGTTAATTGCATAAGCGCCACATTAGAAGCGTTTTGTCGCAGCTTCTGGTTTAGGGTTTAGGTTTCCGGGTTTATATGATAAGGTTCCCATGTAGTTCAGGCATTCGAGGGTTACAAGAGAAGCCTTGCACATGGCTTTGGAATTCTGGGACCCCAGCGGCTTCAGTAGACTCGCGCTCAGGGAAGCTAAGTTGGCGATCACCCTAAACCCTAAACCCTAGACCCTAAACCCCTAAACCCTAAACCCTAAACCCTAAACCCTAAACCCTAAACCCGACAAGACCCAAGGGCCTCAATCCCGTGGGCCTGCTGATGGAGTGGCGACCTGCCGGAGGGCCTGCTAACGCAGCGGCGACCTGCCGGAGGGAGCTCTTGTGGGCACGAGGGTTAAGGGCTCCAAAGAGTTCGGGCTTGGGGTTGAGGTTCTTTTGTTAGGGCTGCGTGAGGAGCTACACTCGAAAGGGTTGGAGTTTAGCCAGGGCTAACCGAACCCAATCCCTAGACCCTTTAAACCCTAAACCTTCAAGGCCAGGAAAAAGAGATATCGTATGCGTTTCATTACGAGCAGCTCACACAATAACCCCTTCATCCTTCACAGTGTAAGACCCCATCAGACAAAAGCATGGCTTTCAGGCACCAAACAAGCCCCTGAATGGTGAAAGACAAGCCCCTACAGCTCCCAGCCCCAATCCTTCAGGCCCCCCCAGCCTCCCAGTCCCCCCCCCCACCCCCCCCCACCCCCCCAGCCCCACCCGACAAAACCTCCCCAAATTTCAGCAAAAGCAAGAAACAAAACCCGGCAAATCCCGACAAAACTCCGGACACAAACTAAATACAATTTCTATAAACCCCTAAACCTCCTGACAAGACCCAAGGGCCTCAATCCCGTGGGCCTGCTGATGGAGCGGCTGCTGACGCAGCGGCGACCTGCCGGAGGGAGCTCTTGTGGGCTCGAGGGTTAAGGGCTCCAAAGAGTTCGGGCTTGGGGTTGAGGTTCTTTTGTTAGGGTTGCGTGAGGAGCTACACTCGAAAGGGTTCGAATTTAGCCAGGGCTAACCCTAAAACCAAAAACCCAATCCCTAGACCCTTTAAACCCTAAACCCTTTCAAGTTTAAACCCCAAACCCTGAAGGCTATAAGACCTCTGATTGGTGCGGTTATTACAATTATATTTAGTTTCAAGGGTGAGCGCCTCGGGTCTTGGGGTTAGCGCTTGGCATTCATGTTGGGTTTATCTGTTTCCAAGGCAGGAAGAACGACAGGTCCTCTAGGCCAGCCCTAGTACTGTTACTGCTGGCACAACTTCTGCTGCAGCGGGCGATTCTTCAAGAACTCCTCAACCAGCATTCTGCTGTCAGACACATGCCGCATGAACAAGTGACACACATAACGAGTATCCTGGGGCATCGAGCTCATGGCTGGAACACGCTTGTCAAGCTCCTGGAAATCAGACACCGTCGCATCAAAACTCCAAATCTGTTCCATGTCTGTAAAGGGATGTGTGCCAGCGAAGCATTCCATCAGTGTGACCCCGTATGCCCAACTCTCTGACCGTCTGGATGGAGTTGCACCTCGCCAGACCTCCGGTGGTCGGTAGAGCCCAGTGTACGCGGCCGTGTCCTGTGATTGCGCTGCCAGCGCAGCCTCCGCCTGACACAAGGTCAGTCTTCCAAGCTTCAGGGTGCAATCCTGCTCGTTCCAGAATGCCGCATGCGGCCTCAAGTCCAGGTGCAAGAGTTGCAGTCCGTGCAGCTGCGTCACCGCGAGCGCCAACTGCGCAGCCATTGCCTGCAGCTTGTGGCCCCTCAGCGGACCAGATCTTGTCAGCACGTCGCTCAGCCGAGGCAACTTCTCAAAGACGATGCATTTCACCGGATCGTTGCAAATGATGGCCTGCTGCACACGCAAGAAGACATCACAATTCCATGCATCGTTTTCTTCCGCCCGCCAGAGCTGCTGCAAGATGCCTACTTCATGTCGGAAGTCCGCCTGAGACTCATAAACCACTGCAGCAGATTCGAAACGAAGATCCTTGTGCAGTGCAGCATAGGCAGCCACGGACGTTCCTCTCCACAAGACCGTGTCCAGGAGCTCATACTCGCCTATGCTTGAGCCAGGTCCATGCTGAGGTTGGCCGTTCGCCCCTCCAGACATGAGTTGCTCCTTCGCTCGAGCAAACGCGGCTTCCTCCTCCTTGGCCCTCTTCTGGTATGGCTCTTGGCCCTTTTTGCCCAAGCGCTTCCACTCGTCTCCGATGCGGTCGAATGCCAGACGTTGTGGACGTTTCTGATCTGCTGACCCCGAGGCCTCTTGCTCTCGCTTGACATCGTCCTGAATCCGTGCGTACTGCTCTGACACGAAGATTGCATAAGGTGTTCTTTTTTTCGGAAGAAACTGTTTGACAGCCTTGTCGGCGGCCTTTTTGGCAGCCTTTTTCGCAGCAGCAGATTCCGGCTTTTTTGGAGAGGCCGGGTCAGATTTAGACCCCTTGGGTGGCATGGCAGCGAAGAAGATGGCCGATCTAGGCAGCCACCATGTTTCTTCTACGACAATTGCAAGACAGGAGTTCTCTGTATGAAAGGTCCACTGTTAATTGCATAAGCACCACATTAGAAGCGTTTTGTCGCAGCTTCTGGTTTAGGGTTTAGGTTTCCGGGTTTATATGATAAGGTTTCCATGTAGTTTAGGCAGTCGAGGGTTACAAGAGAAGCCTTGCACATGGCTTTGAAATTCCCCCAGCGGCTTGAGTAGCAGAGTCATGCTGAGGGAAGTTTAGTTGGCGATCACCCTAACCCCTAAACCCTAAACCCTAAACCCGACAAGACCCAAGGGCCACAATCCCGCGGGCCTGCTGATGGAGTGGCGACCTGCCGGACGGCCCGCTGATGCAGCGGCGACCTTTAGGATGTCATTATGAAAGCCCGAGGCACCGCAAACCTCTTACAACCAATTGCTATCGACCCTTTGGCCTTAAAACAAAAACTCAACCCCAAACTCTAAGCTTGAGTGACCGCCCGCCAAACATACCCCGAAACATACCCTGAATCATAGCCTTAGAGTTAAGGTTTGTTTTTTCTATTTAAAAGTTCCCTCTGCCCTAAACCAAAACACTACTGGTTCCAGTTATAGGGTCTGCCGGTCGTTTGGGGGGTTTAGGGCTTAGGGTTTAGGGTTTAGGATTTAGGGGTTAGGGTTTGGCTTAAATTCGGCTGGGGGCTATTAGGGCTAAGACCCTCGAATCCTGAGACCCTGAGACCCCAACATCCTAAGGCCCCAAGATCCCCAACGCCAGACCTCAACCCTTATGACCCGACGAGGTGCGCCATCCTGCGCTGGGTCCGACGACCTGCGAAGAACTCCGCCACGATGTATCTGCCGAGGGAGTTTAGGGTTTCGGGTTAGGGTTTAGGGTTTCGGGGTTTGGGTCCCTAAGCCCTGGCCCGAAACCCTTAAGACTCTCAACTCCGCAGGATTCAGGTCGCTCCTTTGTAGGGGGGGGGGGTTTGTTGGGAGGGCTTTCATGAAGGGCTTTGGGTTTCGGACGGTCTAGGGTTTAGGGCTTAGGAGGGTTTAGGGTTTAGGTTTGTTCCTGGCGTGACTTTTCAAAGAAGTTGCAAAAGGACCCCCAAACCTTCCAACGGCCCCCCCCCCCACCACCCCAACCCTGGCACCCGCAGAAACCCTGGACAGGGTTTAGGGCACCTTACAAAGGGCTTGGGGGTTTAAAGTACATAATTCTGCGGGGTTCCCTGGACAGGGTTTAGGGCACCTTACAAAGGGCTTGGGGGTTTGAAGTACACAATTCTGCAGGGTTCAAGAATTTTAGTTTAGGGTTCTAGCTCCGAAACCCTAGACCCAATACCTCAAACCC